TCCTAAGGGCTCCTAAAAGAGACATTATTGTTTTGGCAGGTGACTTCAACGCGCGTGTCAGTCGTCTGCTGCCATGTGAGCGCCACCTCGGGGAACCGCATAGATATGATGGTGTTCGCTCAGACAATGGAGAGAGACTGCTCAGTCTGTGTGCTGCTCATCAACTATTCTTCTCCAGCACCCGCTTTCGTCATCTTGGACGCCAGTACGCCACTTGGCGCCCCCTACATCATCAACCCAGCGCTTGTCACAGATTGACCACATAGCTATAAGTCGCAGGTGGCGCGGCAGCATACGCGACTGCCCATCACTTTGGTCAACCTGCGTCGATACCGATCATGCACTGGTATGTGGGACCGTTTGCATGCGTTTTGGTGATTCGCCTAAATCAAAACACACCCGACTGAACACCTACAAGTTGGAGGACCCAATGGTGAAGAAGGAGTATCAACAAAGGCTTCGTGAAAATATCGCCCTCTCTCATACTCTGGGTGTTAATCAACACTGGTCAAGTCTGCAACAAGCCTTGCTGTCGGCCGGTTTGTCCAGCTGTGGCCTCCCTCGCTCCACTCCCAAAAGCTGGATCTCGGGAAGATCCTCGGAATTGCTGAATCGCCGACGGGCGGTGTCTGCTAGCACAGAGTACAACAAACACCGCCGGTCTATTACGCAACAGCTGAAAGCAAGCCTTCACTCTGATCGTGAATCGTGGTGGTTAAAACAAGTTGATTGGATGGAAGCCTCTGCGTCAGCTGGCAACTTCCGCTGTCTAGTTTACATCATCAGGGCCACCGGTTGCAATTTCCACGCTATCAGCCAGACGATTCGCGAATCAGACGGCACGAAGATCACCAACCTTCACAGGCGATTGGGTCGCTGAGCAGAGCATTTCCTTCTTCAATTCAATCACCCAACATAGCCCCCTGTGCCACCTCCAGCCCAAACAGATAATGCTACGAGTATCTCCCCAGCCCCCCCCCCCAAATGAAGCAGAGATTCGAAATGCAATCCAATCTTTGAAACGCCACAAGGCTCCGGATCCCGACAGCCTACCACCGGCTCTATTCAAAGATGGCGGGAGTGTACTTATCTACGAAATCCTATCGCTGTTCACGAAAGTTTGGACTGAGCAGAAGGTTCCGAACTCATGGGCAGATTCGGTCATTGTTCCGATTCACAAGAAGGGTTCCTGCGCCGATTGCTGCAAATACCGCGGCATCGCGTTAATCTGTGTCGCATTCATAATCTTCGTGTCGGTCCTACTTAGCAGGCTTTCAACGACTAGATGAGTTTTCCCGAGAAGAACAAGCCGGATTTCGTCCACGCAGCGGCTGCATCGACCAAATCTGCACGCTTCAGCAACTTCTCGAACTTCGTCACATCTACCGGCGGCCAACACTCGTAGTGTTTAGGGACATCCGAGCGACATTTGATTCAGTAGACAAATCTGCGTTGTGCGACTGTTTACTGAAGAAAGGTGTACCCGACAAGTTTGTAACCATCCTGAGAGAACTTTACAGTCACAGGTCGGGCAAAGTCAGGGCTTATGGCACGCTCTCTTCTTCATTAAACTGTGACCAGCGGCGTTCGCCAACGTTGCCCTATTTCACCTTTCCTCTTCAATTTCGCCATCGAAGATGTTGTCCAAAGAGCACTGGAAGGTGTCCAGGACTGCGGTGTTGAGCTCCTTCCTGGAGACAGAGTGACGGACATGGACTACGCCGATGATATCGCCTTGCTGGGGGACGATATACAAACCGTCCAGAACGCTTTGGACCACTTGGCGATGGATGCGTCTAAGTACGGCTTACGCTTCACTCCGGAAAAATGTAAACCGCTGCTCCATGACTGGCAGGTGCCTGAATTCGCGCTCACCATTGCTGGACATGTTCTGGAGCAAGTCCCTTGATTTACTTATCTAGGGAGTTGCATCACGGCTGCTGGCGGTGTTGGAAATGAAGTCTCACAACGGACTGCAAAAGCCTGCCTTGCATTCATCAAACTGAGACCTATGGTGTTGTCGTGATGTCAGTCGCAGGATCATAAGCAGGGTGTTAAACGCTTCCGTCCGTGCAGTATCCTTGTACGGCTGTGAGACTTGGCCTATGCGCTCGGAAGACATGAAGCGGCTGTCAGTCTTCGACCATCGCTGTCTACGAAGAATTGCTCGGGTGTGGTGGCAATACCACGTAAGCAACGCAGAGGTGCGAGATCACGTGCTTGAAGCGAATAGTGCCAGTCTTCAGGACGTTGTTCTCCGACATCGCATGCGTTAGTTTGGGCACGTTTTGCGTATACCAGCCCATCGCCTTCCACTTCGAGCGCTATCTGCACTCCCAAGGAGTGAGTGGAATAAGTGCCGCGGTGGAAACTTAATGACGTGGAGAAGGAGCATGAAGAAGGCAACCACAAGTTTGGCGGCAGTCGGACCAGTCCATCTTTTAGGTTGGGGACCACGAGATGCTGAATCGCAGTGGTTGGAAACATTAGACGTCATGGCACGCAACAGACATCAGTGGAGTCAATGTAGCTCTGCTATTATATCCCCCTTTAATACATACAAAAAACTCACAAAACAAAAACTTCAAAACGGCGTGTGTAAAAGCACAAAAATGGTTTCCCAATTTTTAATCGCAGTTTGTGTTCCTATCTTCACTTTTTTCTTCAATCACGGTTCTAATGGCACAATGTCTGTTAACAGGCTGTGAATATATATAAATATATATATATATATATATATATATAATGCACAGTAGAACAAATCATCAAGTTGCCGGTGTTAATATCCTGTGGACCTCAAGTCATTGTGCTGTCCATGGAACTGAAAAATTTGGTCATGAGCGTTTCTTATCCTCCGCGTCTTATCCTCCATGTGGACGACTATCTGATTTGGAAACTGGCTGCGATGGACCTCACATAATTACATCAAAATCCCCTACTCATGAGTACATCAAATTATATCCGTCCTGACAGTTTCTAAATGTTATGTCGTACATAGCTACTGTTAGTGGACGTCGTGTCTTTCGGGTCCAACCCTGTCCTCTGCAACGTTCGTAACTTGCATGGCAGTGGAGGATAAGACGCGCTATACCGCAGTTGGTTTGTAAATCATGACGGTTCGAAGCTGTCCCCCGTGGCCCAGTGGCATAAGCTGCTGACTGACGGTTCAAGCCGCTGGTGGTCGTGGGTTCGAATCTTGATGGATCCGATGCGTGCGCACTACTGATGATGCCCAACAGGCTGAAACTGCAGTCTAGTGCTTTTCCGGGCATGTGGACGACTAGCTGATTTGGAAACTGGCTGCGATGGACCTCACATAATGACATCAAAATCCCCTACTCATGAGTACATTAATATAAACGTTTGGTGGATGATCCAATAGCGTGTTAAATGGTTGGAGTGACATGAGGTCGCACAGAGTAGAACGGTCCATTCACGCACCACAATGCGACATCCGGTCATTAAGCGCGCGAATGCTGGTACCGCTACACACTTTTCACTATGCAGGGAAAAGTGGAGCACATTTCGCCTGACGGGCGATGGTATTTTACGATAGTCAACTGAGACGGCCAGTCCTGTCGTGGTCTACACACACTCCATTTCGTCATCGGTGTCCACATTTCGCGAATGTAAACCGCGCGCAACCTCATTAGATTTCGGATGATGATTGAAGCTGATGACATGGAGGAAACGGTCACGTGCTATGGGAATCACCGCAGAACCAATCCGATCTTGAGGTTACATTGCACACAGGGCTCACGTACTTAGCAAAGAATATAAGAATACGGACAAAGTGCTAACCTGTTTGCGAAGTCCAGGTTGGAAATTTGACTTGTATATGAAGACATGCCTGCTACTAGTAACGTCTGGGGAGTCTACGATCAGTGATCTTCAACGGTGTTCATAGGGCGATTACCCAACCCCGATGCCAGCGTATTTTGATACGCATTAAGAACATGGCTTCGTAATTTGGCTGGTGTTTGTGCGCGCAGTGACTCTGCGGACGTCCGTCGAAACGCACTCGAAGCTCGGCACACACAAGAGTGTGTTCGGAGTCAACACTGGTGCTCCAAATCCATCTACAGTTTTGGACACAGACTCTTCAGCGTTAAGTGATCCGGACATGATCGATTTGGGACCATGGTTCGTCCGAGGCTGGTGGGTGCCAAGTCCCTGTTCTGCGAGTGCTGTGCTGAAAATTAGTGTTCGCGAGAAAAAGACTAGCATCTTCACACAGGTGTAGCAACCGCACACCGTTATCATTACAGGAGTCTACACCATATTGGCTGCTCAGATTAAGTTCACCAGAAGACAATTTTTCGACTTGAACGTTTAGATCACCTACAAGCACCACGGTATCTCTACTTTCTCTCTAACTGAGGAGCGTATTCAGTTGGTGATAGAATTCATCTTTCCTCGCATCAGCGCTACAGCTTGTGAGCGCGTAGGCCGCAATGACAGACAGGCACCGTTTATCCCCGCGCGACTTCGAAGCCTGGAACGAACCAGCTAATCAAATGGCTCACCTCCGGCTGTTGACTGGGATAAAATCGATGAGGGCGGCTTCCCCCGGGACTCAAAACAATGTCGACGCTTGCTTGGCTGGCATTTGAAGCTGCGTGATCGTCAGATAGGCGCATATGGAGGATCGCAGATTTAGCACGGAGCTGGAATCTTGTAGGCCAGTTTCCGATAAACAGCAAACATCGATCGATAGGGCCTCCAGTGTTCGGGAAAATGCTGTCTATGGGCCAATCTGTAGTAAACTGCGCAGTTCGAGCCGTGCCAGTCTTAGCGAGGATCGCAGACTCCAAAGTGAAACGGATGTACTGACATTTTCCGCTTGGTTGTACATGCACTTGTCGACTGGACTGGAGGCATTGTGCCGTCGTTAAACTCAGAAGGAGAAAAAATTTCGTTGATAGTTCAACGCAATTTTTTCAGAAGCTTTCATTTTTGAGCAGTGAAACAGAGTCATTTTCCCAATGAATGTCACTCACCGATTTGAGCTTCCTCGAATCGGTCATTTTCTGCCAGCCATTGGGCATACGGCAAGTACACATGGCTTACGTATTCTGGGTATTTTTCCGCAAGGCTAAAAGCCTGGAAGAGGAAAATAAGCGAGTAAAGTTAGACAAGCAACAAATCAACAAAGTATGAGATGGGTACGAGCTCGGTAACAGTCCTACGGGCTCGTATGTTCTTTTGACTATAATCAAGGCTATCAACCAGTGGGCTGGAAGAGCATTGCATTTCAATCTAATAACTTTGGCGAGCGTATGCCCTCTATCTGCTTATGCACTGTACTAACAATGGACAAAAATGCAAACGAGAACAGCAGAACAGGCCAAAGGCTGATCTGGGGGCAACTGAGAAAAACGCCGGAGTCGTCGAATGGATGCAATCTCAGTTGGGAGGCGAGAGACCAAACCTACAGGACGTACCAAACCCTGAACTGCAGTGGATCCGCCACATGCTCTCGCCTTTCATTTACGAAATTCATGCGCGGCGATTCAGAAGGACGGCATACAGCACCGTGTTTACTCGCTTCCTCATAAGTTTACAAGTTTATCGTCTTCGCACAGTTATGGCTACGGACATTAGTACAATTTCCATGTGACGCAAAGCGCAACAACACAGTATCTTATTAGGATGCCTCGGTATTTGAAACCATAGTCAGTGCCTACTGGTCACACACGATCGCCTGAAGCGAATTCAGCGATTCTTGGCGCGACTGCATGAATGGTAGTGGTGGTGTGCACTCTCTGTGGGAGTTGAAATCGCGTTCCGCAGGCTTACAGGAGGTGAGTACATTTGTTACACCATCTCGATGATAGTTACCTAATAAATTTGTCATCTGGAATGGTACACGTTTGCGCCTGATATCCCAATTCTAGTTCAGGTTTCAGTGTGACGGTATATTGAATACCAAATAACGGAATGGCAAAAGGCTCACTGATCCGTCCAGAAGTTTGACGTATTTACCGTTCACCTATTTCCTAATGGCCACGCTAACCATGAGCAGCACAGGGTATGACTTTAGTTGCAACTCATGGGCTGACTACTGTAAGCGCATCCACCGTAGCTGTTGGTTTAAGTCGTGTCCATTACAGCCGCTGTGTCGTGGCTTGGGTATTACAAATCAGTGGTAATACTGCTTATCTATCTGGTTGGAGAAAACAGCTTCCTTCAGCCAAGAAATGTTTTCGAGTGAGAGAAACGCCAAGCACTCACTTCATCCCAATTTCGGGCTTCCACCTGCAACGCCACCTGTTTTTCCACATCGCCGTACTTTGCATAGCAATCGGCTGCGAATGCGTATTCCCCCAGACGTGCCAAATGTGACGCACACATCTCTAAGCAATCTCGATCACCCTTGTCCAAACGACGGCTGACCTCCAGCAAACTGGTTTGGAAAGGAATCAATCGTATGTATGAGTAGTCGATGTGGAATATTTTTTAAGTAAAATCCAGCAGATGAATAAAGCAAACTATTAACTATAGATTAACTATAGGGTTGGGAGGAGCAACACCGAACCACCAATTCGGTTACGGTCCTTGTGATCGTAATGACCGAGGTCCACTTAGGACCGAGGTCTGAATAGAGATTGCGAGTCGCAATCCAACCACACAGCGAGTACACCAAATGCCACTTGGTATTAACTATAGAGTTTAAAAAATCAGCGAAAAACGCAGTTGGTTTGGAAGCCATGGCAACGAACACTCGACAGATTTTAATAGATGGGTGGAATCACGTTGGTCATTGTGTACACAAGCAATCGCGGGCAATGCCACGCGGTCCATGTATCACATTGAGCAATGTTAACTAAAAGTGTAGAGTCAACTAAATCGCATCGCTCAAGAATAAAGGGAAAGTAAGGTGCCATCAACCGATCCGCAATCTCACCCTTTCGTACCGAAATGGCGCGAGATAAATCTTTCCACTGTAATAGCTTAACATTAACACAGAGCTATCAAATAAGACCCTGCTGTTGTCAATACAGCTCCATACATTTGCTGTGTGTCATCGTTCAAGCATCGACGCCCTACTAATCCAGAGACGCTACTGTGCCTCAAAGCTAACCGATTTCGCCAAATGAAACATGTTCAATAAAGGTAGAACAATTCACTGAATTACTTTCGATATTTATCGGGTGCTTTTCTTGACCTGTTGAGTGCAAATATCTATTACCCGGTGTCAGGCCACCTAGTAATCGTCACTCGATTAGGGGGCTATCATTTACATAGTAGTAACGTGCAAGTCAGTGAATAATGACGGGCGCCACATCACATCTAGTAACTTAGTCACTACAGTCGTTACCGCCCCCGTAACTCAGTGGCCATAACCACAGACAAGTAACAGTTAAGTTGTGAGGTTAAGCCCCACAGGCGTCAGATGGAATGCGCAATAGTGACGATCCCCGAAAGGATGAAAAGGCTGTACATTGCATTTCTGGGCTTGTGATGGCTGTCTGGGTCTAGCTTTGATGAATTTCTACTCATACCAAGGTGTGATCATTGCGCCCGTTAAGCAACCGACATCAGATGCACATGGCTGCTTTCAGTTGAAGCATGCCGCGCCGCTTAACGCGGTCAGGGCTGTAGGTAGCCGGGTGGAGCGCGTGCATATGTCATATGTATCTGACAGGCTATGAAGTGTGATCCCAGTATGATATTGGAATCAAACTATATCGCCTCCAGTATCCACGCACTGGTGGTTCAATAACCAGCGCGTCAACAATGGCAGTTACTTCGCCAATGAGAATGGAAAGCCACCACTAATCCGCCTACTGCTCTCGTTTCGCGTTGCTTGTCGATGTCTCATGCATCTGTGTCCAAATGATCGCACTGATAAGCCTTGGAGTCATTATGTTTTCCTCATTCAACATTTTCGTTATTTGTTTCCATCCAGGATTTACGGTTTCATATTCCAAACCTAACTTTCGGTTCTCATGACTATATATAAGTTGAATGGCGAAGAAATTTGATTTGATATTTTTCATGGTTTCATACTTGTGCTATTATCCGTTTATACACATTCGTACAAACAGTACCTCGCCAGCGAAAACGGAAAATCAGAGGCAAAAGAATTCCGCAGACTCATTCGTTTCTACCTTCCGAATAGCTCACAGTTCCCATGAGAAGAGAAATTGACACTTACCCGACATGTAAATGCTCTAGTTAATACGCACGTCATTAGTTACGTAAAAACGCGTATTTCTCTTTCCCGTCATAACAACAGTCTTTCTTGTATCTACTGGAGCGCACCATACGATCATCAGTGATAAAAGAAATAATACCGGAGGGTAAACCGAATTGATGCTGCCAATCAGGAAGATAGCACTGATTCGAAACCCGCGTGAACGGGAGTGCATACTGAAAATTGGAACGTTCACATTTGCCGAATCACAACTTATGGACCTCTGAAACATGTGCATTTTTGACTATAACAGTGCGCAATCCAACATTTTCTACAGTATATCTACACACACGAGGACGTGCGCTAGGTACCTGCTGAGCTGTACGCTTCAGCTGCGCTGTGGCTTGTTAAATGAAGTAAATACTTTTTTTCATTTTTTATTTAGAAATTCCTTAATTCCTACATCGTCTTTGTATTAAGCCTCAATATACCATTTGAGTTGCGTTTCTGTATAGGCTGCATCAGTAGAGGTGGGACGCTGGTGCTATATCAGTAGATAGCCACTCATCTGATCCTCCCAGACCCACATTCAAGAACCAGCGAAGACAACTTTAGTTGTGTCTAGGGAGGTTTCCAGCGTTCCTTTGGCGTCCGGATCCACGCGTAGTGCAGTTGGAATCGTTAAAGCTGTAGATATAATTGGTCCAAAAAGAACAATATTGCTTCAAGCACTATTCAGTACTCCGTCCAGAGAAGAGAGGTCAGATCGGGCGACCACCCCACCTACCCGAAGGTAACTGTCTTAAGAAAATTCTCATACATTTAAAAACGGAGTTGCGATTCTATCAAATACATGTGTTCATCCGTAGGGAGTTGGAAGTCGAGCACTCACATATCGGTCCAGGCGTGTTCACCGGCCAGTTCAATTGCCGCAGCATATTCGCCAATCTCCACGTACATCTTCGTTGCCTTATGATGATCGTTGGTCGACCTCGCCCAGTCCGCGTGCCTTCTAATCAATAACCGTTGCCCACTTGAGTCTCCAGAAGCGCTCATTGACTCCTTTGCATCGTCGAATCGTCTTAAATCACAGTACATTTCGACTGTACGATTAGTGCCAATTACTGTGGATCCAGCTCGTGAGTAAAAGGATGCTGCCTCGGCGAAGTTTCCGTTATACGCAGCGACATCGCCCATGGCCACTAGCGAAGCAGGGCAGGTGCCGACCTCTTTTTCATCCCAATCGCTGCGACGTCGGCGATCCTACAACATGAACGGTGACAGTGAATGATCGTAACAACTATTAAATGAAATGGTAGCAGAAATACCGATGACCATTTTTCGCGTCTGCGTCAGGGACGACTGGCTTCTAATCCATAGGTCAACAATTCAAACTTGTATAGGTGTGAGCGATTTCACACTAAGTGCAGCCTACACGCAGCTAGTGGTAATTAGAGGACAGCGAAGTGTGAGGGCGGCGTGGCGATTTGCTGCTAATGCTGTTCTCTTTCATTTCTTCCGAGGCTATTCCCGTCTCTATTTTTATTCCAATTTGGTGAAGGGCGGTGGCTTCAAAGCAGCCTGCAGGAATTACGAGTTTCGCGATCCATGAATGTTTCCCGATCACCGTGAAGCGCGCTATGTTTGGGGCAAAATGTGTGACAGGGCAGCACTCCGTGGAATCCGGTACGATCACGCATCCCCATAGTGGACGCTGAAAGACAACAGGATAACTACTGCCATGCAAAGTATGGTACTCTTTTCTTTCAATATACAGTGACCGCATTCCAAAGACAGGTTGGAATATTACCCAAAAATTGCTTGGAAATATTTCACAGAACTAGTAGTAGGAAAATTGACTGTGCGAGTACGATGAACCAAGTGCACACGTACTTAAATGGGACTAAACTTTATGCTCACCTAGACAAACCATGCGAGTTTACTCCAGAGCCAAGATTATTCCATACATTCTTTTGCGTGGATGATTCAGCGATTAGAACTGGTCTAGTAACGTGCCGATACACAAATCAAGTAACCGCAGATCACAAGTATTAAGGTTTGGATAAGCACGTGACTTGAAGTCGTTTCCATTCGCAGCGCTGCTTTGTCGCAGTTAATTACAAACCAGATAGCGCGCCACACCCTCCGCCATTATGCCGGTCACCAAAATGCAGATGATAAGATGCGCCGCGTCAGATCGCAGTTGATAATCAGACATGACGGTCCACCGCCATTGTCCCTAACCTATTGGTATTCCGACCACATTGGTCGTGTGTTAGTATCCCGAAGGAGTCAAAGAAATGCGCATTGCTGAGAAGTTCAAAAGAATCTAATCTACCAATTACATCAAAACTCTGTGACAGAAGTCGGTCCTTCAAGGACCAGCGTCTATTCAGTACAGTCAACTCAGCGAAGAATACAGCTCACTTGGTACTCTAAACATCCCGATGTATATTGTTTGTGTACCATAAACAATAACCTTGTGAGTCGACGATGTTCCTCCTTTGACTCAGCTAAAGAAATCACGAACGCCAGCCAATCCGCTTCCAAGGAGCGAAGCAGGCAGGCTCGTCCGACGTTGGTTACCTGTCTCGATGTCGGCCGGTGGCCGAGTGGTCTGCACGCTTGCTTTGCGACCATAAGGTCACCAGTTCGAATCCGCGAAGGGGTGGGCGTCCTCGCGGTATACTCAACTCGCGCGCGACTGGTGGTGGTTGCGCGGCAGCGAAGCGCCGTTACGGCGTACAGCTGACACATTCTTCATTCATTCATTCATTCATTACCTGTCTCGATACCTGTTTAGATCCATCTGTTCACACTGATAGGACACTCATCACAAACTGGACTGCTACTTTGTGTAACATAAACAATAACCTTGCGAGTCGACAATGTTCCTCTTTTGACTCAGCTAAAGAAATCACGAACGTCAGCCAATCCGCTTCCAAGGAGCGAAGCAGGCAGGCTCGTCCTACGTTGGTTACCTGTCTCGATACCTGTTTTGATCCATCTGTTCACACTGATAGGACACTCAGCACAAACTGGTCTGCTACTATTTGGTAGTCTCAACCTATGTATCTAACTTTTAATTGATCTCCCAAATCTACCTGCCTCAAGTACACTTCACCATGCACTTTTCCTTGTGTTGTACCCACCGTGCGTTCTGCCTACAATTCGCAAGCTAGCTTCAGGTTTCCATTTAATCCGGTTATTTCGACTGCCGAAGCAGCGCTCAAAGTAAAGGTATCATGGATGTTACTGGCCCCTAAGTTTGCACTTTGGGACCGGTTTTATCCTCGCTTTGATACTGCATTAATACATAGCTGGTAATGGGGATCGATCGCATATAGGTCATGGTCATCTAACTTTGCCTCAACAACTGGATTACAAGCCTCAGAGAGCATCGCCACCACGTTTGTAAGAGAATGCTTTCAATTTTTGGAGTACTTCTGTTGGGCCAAATCGCATCTGATTGTTTTTGTCAATCCGCATAGAAGCAAAGCAAAGAATAACAAACTGAGAGAATGCCTAGTCATTTTTGATCAATTAATGCTTTTGAAGCGATTAAAAAACACCCAGATGATTCTTTATTTCCACTGCACACTCACCTCAAGTTGTTGAATAAACGTCAACATGACTATAGCACCCAGATGCAAGTACGCGTATTTGGCCACCTGGAGATTAAAAAAACAGTACATTTTTAGACAATTGATTGAAATGGAATTGTGTGTAGGTTGCCATGGTTAAACTGTTGCGTAATTGTTGATGAACTTTATTCATCCCTGCAAAGTTAACGAGGTGGGGGTGAAATTTATCCTCCGCAGGGTTTGTTAAAAGAGGGTCAACATTGCAAGCGTATTACAGGGCTGCGGCCTCGACTGGCAGTCGTTTTCGGTCAGTTCCCTCGAGATAGCTTTTACACATATTGTAGTCTAGTGGTTAGGACATTGCGTAGTTCCGGGCCCAGGCTCGTCGCTAGCCGTCCTTCTCGATCCGCTCTCAGCTAGCTCCGAAGAGCTCCCCCGAGGCATTCTTGGAAGCGGCCCCTCTACAATATCTCTGGAACGAAAACTGTCGTGTTCACACGTTCTTATACGGCGCGATGCATTCCACTCTGCAGCCGAAGAAGTGGGCATACAAATCCAGCAACATTCCGTGGGACTTTATACCACGCTGTCAACCAGCAAACCATACAAATGAGAGGCTAGATGCTTCTTGAGGACACTCTATCGTTGCTTTTTGCGATACCGATAGAAGATCCATCGGCGAATTGCATACGTGGGAACAATGATCGGGTCTCACGTTTCCATTACCCCCTTCCTGGGATTCGCTCGATTCAGCTCGGTTTTGTATGCAGAGAAATCGTACCAACGCCATAAGGAAATGGTATAAAAATTTTGAAGTCAGGTACAGGAATGTTACAGTCCGAAAAAAGCCGGACTAACTACTTGTAAAGCTGGAACGCGTAACTCTTGGCAGCGAACCAACTCGACCTCACTGCGGAGTAACTAGATAGCTTGACTTAAACAGAAAGTGCTGCAGCGGATTTTCCCTTCAGCACGCCATGGAGTGCACCACTTTCGGTCTCCAAGGGGATACCATTCTGGTGGTCAGACTGAAAGAGCTGATATGATGCACCGGTAACTTCGCTTCCAAACTCTTGTTTCGGTCGAAGGTGCCACGCAGTCGCTTCCCTAAAAGAAGAGAGCCACCAGCAACCTCCGTCTAACCTTGAATTCACTGCGTAAGTCACTTTTGAACATAAGACACACAATAAGCCCAAATCCCTCAGAAGTCATAATCGACTCCATAAGCAACGGAAGTTTCTGGCCATGGAGTCTACTATGTATGTAGTGTGTTCAGCAGGTGAGAAAGTGACTTCGTATATGATTACTGGCATCAATTCTGTCTTCCGAGAAAGTAACTGTCAGGGGGTATGCTTTGAAGAAGTGCAGCACAAACTCAACACAATGTAACCATGGGACCGAAACAGATACATAGGGGATAGCGAATATTTTTACCCTACTTATCAAACCCCTACTTCAATCTTTCCACAATCGTGCCACTGGGTCACAGATGCCGAACTAATGGTGTTCAACAAAACCGCGCCCTATGGAGAGCCGTTTGACAGTACAATGGAACAGTGCTTTATGACGCGTACAAAGCATATCCTTAACCAGTTACGTAGGTCGCTAAAGAAAAAAATCGGAAATTCCAGAATTACATATCCGGCTAAAGTAAAATGCGCTTCAGCGCAACGACAGGACAACGATATGTCAGAAGTAAGGTAATGGTGCAGTGACCTGGAGATTCCCCCGGTTGATGGGTAACTCAATCCTAAATACTATGAAATCATAGTTTGCTAATTTGTTAGGTAAGTAAGTGGTTTGCATGTTTGTATGGTGCAAATGTTTGTTTGAGACACACCGACAACATCCGGACTTTGTCCGCCGACTTCGAAAAGAACGTCGGTTCTCCGACCGCACTCAGCACCCTACCGCATACTCCCTATATAGTCATCTGCCAGTGCCCTATTTTTAGTCTTAATATTTAGCAACTTTCTAATATACATTTTTCTAGCTTATTTCCGGGTGTTCTGCCGAACGCCTTTGGGTGGCCATTTGAATCTGAGTTTCGGATAGATACCGTTAGACGAACGTGATATAATGGGAATATCGAAATACAAAAACGGAACAACAATATGGTATGATTAACGCTTTTTGGAAATTAGAATCAGGATGCCCATCCGCCAGCATAATCTAGATTATAATTTCAAAAAGCTAGTTATCCAGGATACTTTCTAGAGTATCCGTTATTATGACAAAGTGCAGGGTGCTAGTGCGATATTCGAACACTCTGAAAGTGGTTGCAGTGGGGCAAAAATAACCGAGTTTGCAAGATCGTTTCAGGATTGGTAGACCCGGGAGAGAGGTATGCCATCCACCATCTAGACGACTGTATTGTGGACGTCATTTTAAGCTGTAGCCTCAGCTTGATTTCCGGGCTGTTTCAGAAGGTAGCGGTATACGTGAATGGGATCATTCAGTATTTGATATACAATCACCAGGTCATCACGTAGCCCTCAGTAACGTCCACTGAATACTCCAACTTGCTTCAGCCACTGTAGGTGCAATAGATCCCGAGAATCTTTGACATTTTTCGTCGCCGATGTTGTGGAGGCTCGAACATTGTGTGGTCACGCTTTAGCCACGGTTCCCAAGCCTGCATATTCTAGGCATTAGGCGTCAGACAGGGGATGGATAAACTCAAAATCCCGACTGTCCTCTGCAAGAAACCAACACACTGGTTACATCTTTCTGAGGCGGACTCAGACTGTCTGGAACAGCTGACGTAGTACCGTACCAACACACCGAGGTTACTTTTCTGTAACAAGGTACGCAGATGGTGCGCAGCCAGTGTATGGGAGGGAAGGATTCTTTCTTTCAACTTATTCAGATTAAGTGGTAAAGATCATAACTCGGTGCTACCCGGTTACAGGCTAACATTGCTTGTTGTAGGCGTATCTCATGTACGCTGTGTGCTATCAGGTGCGTCCCCAGGTTGCGGATTGAGGAATGCCTTCCTTGTGGAGGTAACTGCGAATAAGTCTCGTTTGCTTTACAGGCGAGATGAATAAGCAGTCGCGGACAATCAGCGCCAGCGTCTCAGAGCATGGGGTTCTAAGATAATCACTTGGTTCTCCGTCAAATATTGATGCTGATGCCTTGTATGCACATGAAATATTGGGTGACGGATGGCTGGCCTCACGCTGAACCCAGTTGTTGACCCGTCATCAGCTTGACCCAGGCTCCGCGTTTCGGATATTATTACGTCATCCCAGACCACAATTCTTGTGGGTTTCCGAGGCAGTGGCGATAAACCAGCTAAGACCTGTGCTGTGTGTGAAGAAACAATCGGTGGTTGACCTTCGGTTGCCCCGGTCCTAGGATCCTCGCAGCCGTTCATCTCAGGGAAATTGATTGTTTGGTACCACCCTTTGAACGGTATAAAATACCACAAAAGTTCGTACGGCGCTGCGTCAAAACCAATGTGACCGCCTACAGGGTCATTGACCACACTTCTGGAACCAGAAGTGGGTACCTAATAAAGGGCGGATGAAAAACCTTGCTGTCCACCGGCTTCTCTGTGGACTGCTACCAAACACATAGAAGGCGAATGAGCCACCAGACAGTCAACGGTCTTCGTATTCAATAACTTGCGTGAATCGCTCCGCTGCCTTGTGGGTCAGGTCTTTGGGACCAAAGGCTCGGTGTGAGGTCTTTTAAGTCAACGCTTTTCATCGGCCTAGGCAATCGGAAACCTCACTGCCCTTGCAACACGTGAACCCAGGTAACCTTTTCGTTGACTGTTTCTTTTCCTCCTTTGTGTTCTTGTTACTCATGTGTTGCGGCACTCTATCAATGGTTTATTGGTTGTGTTAAATAAATAAAATATAATACCTCATGTTTTCTCATTTTTTGCACAGTGAGCATCGGATATTTCATGCGAGTGTCAATCCTTTCGTCTGAACAGTCCACTACCGAGCAGTTCGCGGCTAGGGCCAAGCAACAATATGGGTGTCAAACAACTCAGACCCTATTCACGTTGGACAATAGCGTGAAACAAGCACAGACACTATGGTGTGTCACTCAAATGGGGCCTTTAGTTGTCCAAGTCAAAGTAAACAAAGATCAGCTCGCAACGGTTCACGTCTGTATGTGTTTTACCGGTTAATGCAAATTGATGTGCAAACCGCAGACACGATTTGTTCTCGATATTTTGAGCAAAATAGAACAAGTGGAGGACTTCTCATGTGCACAGTAATATACATGTAAGCGAAGAGAACCTAAACTCGTCGAGCAAGCGAAGAAACTGCCGATACATATGGACCATTTTCAAATGCTGATTGGAAGAAATGGAAAGGAGGGCCGCATTACATGTCCGCATGTCAAATGTTGCAAGCAGTGTAGGCTTCCGGGAAGCAAGAAGACTGGGACGCGATCACGGAGACATTTATTAAGATTACACTCGAATACTTATCGAGTATTTACACTATTCACAACAGTCTGTCTCAATGGCTCATCTCTGTTATTTGCATTGTGTCGCTGGCTCCCTTTCTATTGGTTTGTGCTTGCTCGCGACGTTCACTCTGTCTAAATCACTTTGGCTTCCTTAGTCGATGTACGATTGGCGGGATTGGGCCCGCGAGCTTCTTCCCTCGGTCCAATGTCACAAGCCTTGGCTCAAGGGTGTATGAGTATGCGCTCCTTCGTCTGCTGGCGCCCTATTGGTCATTTGCACGTTCAGTGGATAGTTGCATAGTGGTCGCGATTACGGGCCAATTAGTTCCTGATTGGCTGACCAATCTGCCTCCTGCAACATGCTCACTTCTTATCGGTCTGGCCTGTGACGTTCGATCGGCATTATAGCGTTGCCAATCACCATCATTTCCAGCCCCCTTCACATCCTTTCCTTTTTCGTTTTTAGGATGGCGTTACAATAGGTTCCGTATTGCCTACCAATTCGTGTGCGTTTAATATCCTGTGCTTCGGTAGCAGTATTCTTCTCCGGTTGTTGTTGCTGACCCTCTCTCTGCGGTCTCCAATTCTGATGCACTATTCTCAGTTGCACCCGATGCCGTCGAATGAGGTTGCTTCACCCTTGACTTAATAGC